TATGCTAATTAATAGTGTTTTCACTATATTTTGGATATAGATATCCATTGCAGAATTGATGTCATACGGCTCGTTCACTGAATCGCTGGCCGTCTCAGTGATCTGCCGTAAAACAGTGATTCTGTCCTAATTCCCTTACATATTAATGGTGGAGTTCCCTTTAAAATCTTAAATGATTCCCTTTGAGCTAAATTATTGACCTGTTTCCCTTACATGAGATTAAACGACTTTGACAACAAAAATACTTGTCGACATTTTTATCGTCGATAATGTCAAATAATGGTTTCAGCCCTAATGCGCAGTATTCAAGCAGGTCACGCGGACAGTGCACAGACCATCACAGAACACAGACAGCCAAAGAACACTTTGGGCTTAATACAGCAGCTGAGAGAGTGACAGCAAAATTGACATGCTCTCGATATTTTCCCCTCTTTTGGTCATAGAAACACTATTGGGTTTTTTTCTTTTGGTATTGGGGCAAATGGGAACTCAAAAATTATCCTATCATTCATCGACCTCAAATATGGTTTATCATTTGGAGTTGAAACAAGCAAGTAGTAGCAATTTTACATGGCTGCTCGCTAGAATGTTAAGCTAGATCAATGCGCCCTAGATTAGGCGGATTTCCAAGTGTTTGTGCAGCGTGTGGAAGCTATTTGCGCACTACTGCATGACATGGAGGCGCCGGAGTGATCACTGGCATTTTTTCCCTGATAACATTGGAAACAACTTATAATACACCATCATTTTTGCTTATACAGATAAAAGTAATATCATTAGACTGTTAATGGTGTACTTTTATTTGTATATAAATATATCACAATATCAACAAAACATTGTGCTTATGTAAAATAAATAAAACAAACAAGGTGTGCTTTCTGCTGTATCGGTCTCCATGAACTGGAGAGCATCACAAAAATATAAGCTATACCTGCCTTGCAGACATGAGAAATATATCTATAGAAAGCTTGAAATGTCTACTTTTGAATGAACCAATTCAAAGCCAAAACACTGATTATGCAATCTGTATGAGAGTGCATTTCTCTCTGAAGACTGTAATGTGGAGATGGTGATCCATTTAATCATTCAGCATCCATTTAATCTTTGCAGCCATCACGGACTCAGAAAACATTAGTTTATTAATAAATAATTAAAATATCTCCATACTATTTTCCCCAACACATTCATAGTCATTACTTTTGCCGGTGCTTTGCAGCAAGCTTTGTGTGCGCAATTAAGCGTGGAATAGGCTATATATTAAAGGCTCATTATGGTTTAGTTCCCCCTCCAGTATTCACGCAAATAAATTAACATAAACGTGTGATTAGTTGCCTAGAAAAATCTTTAATTTAGAGATCGACTTCAGCAGTCACATAATTCAACTACAGTATATCTCTAGACTAATATCACCCTCAAAAACGTAAAAGTCAGCTTATGTTAGAAATGCACCAACAAGCGGAGACCTCAAACTGAAGACTGCCTGTTCTCGTGCATGGCAGTTCCTGGTGCAATGGAGGAAAGGAGACTGGTTTCAACATAGATCTGCGTCAGTTCTCTGGCGACTTTACTGCCCACACCTCTTCAGGAGAGAATAAACCTGCTGTCAGATGTTATAGTTGCTACAGTGATTCATTCATAAAGAAAGCTGCCCTTATCAGTTCAGTTTGCTGGTTTCTTGCAGTACAGTGTGAGATTAATCAGCTGAGGAACATGTAAATCTACACTCATGACTTGTCTTTGCAGTGTTTTTTGTGGCCTAATGTCCTCAAACTACATGCTATCAGTTTCAGGAGCCTGACTGTCTCTGTAAAACCAGCCATGGTTTCAACATGATAATATACACTGCTCTCTGCGCCACCGCTTCAATCAATAGCACTGCCGCAAAATCTTTACAAGGAAAACAACATGTGAAGGAAGTCCTGTTTTTTTAAGACCCAAGCAGGGCAAAATAAAGTGGAACTACAAAGCATTGGGCTTCGATGACACTATTTCAGAATGTCACTGCATCAGAAATGATCAGAGCAAGAGTCAGGCAGATGCAGCAGCAGGGATATTTCACAATCACAAAGCTGCTTTATACATATTTCAAACCTAAGAAAAGTATTTTCGTGCTCTATTTCTTGGTTTACTATTTTGTTATCCAATGCAACGACACTCACACAAGTCTTTCAGGGCCAGGGGTGTTTTCAAAGAAAACTAGAAGCAGGGATGCTTTGAAAGCTTCATTCAGTGATGGTGTTTTGGAAAGTGCAGCAAATGCACGCTGCAAAAACAAACACGGCCATGAGGTGATCATTCATCGAAACATCTGCGGCACACAGCGAGCAGCACGGAGCTCATGTGACATGAGCTGGACCTGGACGCGTGCTCCTGTCACGGTCACATGTCCTCAGCGCTGTTGATGCTGATGCTGATGCAGCCGTGCAGTGTTGCCAGATTGGGCGGTTTTGAATTTGATTGTGCGGGTAAAAACTGGCTTGGGCGGGTGAACAAAATTTGGGCTGGTTTGGGGTCAGTTTGGCAGTTCTCAAACATATAAATTGCATTGGCTAATTGTTTAACAAACAAGCCCAAGTATGCATGTACTGCATCCAATCAGTCATCACAACATTACTACACACACACACTGCAGAGGCGCTGGTGCTCATGTAAACCTCGACAGCCGCAATTATCACGAGGGCTCAGCAGACAGACGTTATGATTCATGAGTGACAAGTTTTTAGCGTGATAAGTTATAACGTATCTGATTTTGAATGTAGCGTGACTGTATATTCAAGTAATCACACTGCCTAAAATATAAGTTAAAGAGTGGGAGAGTGACTCAACTCTCAAAACGTGAATTATTGTGGAGTGAGATGACACGAATGCTCCATCACTGCAACTCTCTGAAATCAGAGCACATTTGAATTAATCACAACCAAAACTAAATATGTCGGTCTATACGATCATGTCTTTTATCTTTTAAACGTCCAGATTGATAAATCCTTGAAAACTGCTAGACTTGATTAGTTTTGACTGGGCAAAGTTCTGTATTATGTTCTACAATATGAACTTAACAAGAGGCTTCCTCTAGTTCTGTGTAAAATTATAGAGCGACACGAAGGTAAGCATTATCGTTGTTGTTGTTTTTTTTAATTGTCGGATTATAATTAAGTATCAATGAATGACAGTTTTGAGTTGACTGTCATGGTGTGCGCATGAACGAGTGTGAAATACATGCTAATTACGTTGCTTTTTCCTATCACTTATATTGGGCACTTTTTGCATTTAAATTGGATTATTCTGACTGCTGACATTGAAAATCATGCATGTCATGTTTCGAGGGTATCGGTTAATTTCATGATTGCCGTTTTGACAGTGTCTGCTTGCATATTTTATTCATGTTCGGTAGCCTAATTCTCTTTAATGTAGGCTATTCGCCCCGATTTGATCCGTTTACCTGCGAAATGTCTTATTTATAATTTATATTAACCTATTTTGTCTCAATATTTAGTTTTAAGGAGTTAAAATGGCCCTTATCAACCTTGATTTACATATTCAATAACATTATTTTGACGGTTAAAGTTTTGGGCGGTTTTTGTGAGCTTTTGGCCTGGAAATCGTCCATCCAATCTGGCAACACTGCGTGCGACTTCCACTAGCAGCACACCTGCCGAAGCACCTCAAACCTACCGACGCTACAAGATCAGCACGTGCATTCAAGCACCTTCTCAGGTTCTTAGTCTACTTTGCGATTGCCATTTAGGAGACCCTCAGTAACTTGTAACACACTTCTTCAGTCCTCTTAGAGTAAGCTCAATTGTAGTAGTACTTTCTAAATCATCACACGAAAGGTTTGAAGCTACCATCTTTCAGTCATCAGATCTACAGAGGCATCGTGACTCGTTTCCCATAGACTTACCGCGATCAGCGTGCTGTTTCTGCCCTGCTCCCCGGGCGTCCCGTTCCCTCCGTCCGCGCTGGTGCCCCCGCCGCCCGTCCCTCTCTGCCCCGCCGGGTCCCCGCTCAGCGCCGCTGGCGGCTGCCGGTGCTTGTTCGAGCGCTTGGCCTTGGTCTGCATGCAGCGCTGATGCAGCGCGAACGTCTGTTGTCTGTCCATCTCCAGCCGCTCCATGGCCGTGCTGTCATAGCGGTTCTCACAGCCGGTGTGATGCCGCCGGAAGAGCTCGATGCGCCGCCGCAGCCGCTCCATCACCGCGCTGTGCCGCGGCACCACGAAATCCGCCATCATCCAGAACAATAGCGCGTTTATAACCTCGCTCGAGTCTCCGGAGTCCAGCACAACTCTCAGGACTGATCGTGCTGTTTGCGTGCGTGTGCGTCTTTACAAAACACGCTCAACTGCCTCCATTTTCAGCACTTTCTGCCTCCTTATACAACAAAAGAAATGGCACATAGTTCAGATGTGAGCGCTTATATTCAGAAAAGAGTCGAAACGCAAAAACTCCAATCAAAGTTTCCTTTACGCGAACGCTCAAAAAAAAAGACAGACAGACAGACGATAGATAGATATTGTCAGATTATAGACAGACAGATAGATACAGACAGACAGATGATAGACAGACAGACAGATAGATAGACAGACAGACAGATAGATAGATAGACAAACACAGATAGATAGATATGGTCAGATTATAGATTGATAGACGGATAGATTATAGATAGATATATAGATTGATAGACAGACAGATAGATAGATACACAGACAGACAGACAGACAGACAGATGATAGATAGATACAGACAGACAGACAGATGATAGACAGATATTGTCAGATTATAGCTAGATAGATAGACAGAGACAGACAGACAGATAGATACATAGACATACAGATGGTAGACAGACAGACAGATAGAGACAGATAGATAGATAGATAGATACACAGACAGACAGATGATAGATAGACAGACAGACAGACAGACAGATAGATACACAGACAGACAGATACACAGGTGGGTAATGAAAACTGATGTAAAGAAAAAATGACTGGAAGCTTTGCAGAACTTTTCTGACACCCTGCTTGACTACAGCTGGCTTTCACTCTCCACCACAAATCTATGGGCTACTCTGTGTAAAACCGAATTATGCAACTCACACAGCTATCACAATAATAGCTCTCCCTTACAGTCTCATAACTGCTGAGCTTGAACGTTTGCATCGTAAGAGCTATTTCTAAAGAATTCAGTACAATTTTGGAAATGATTCTCCTGTGTGCAGCAAAGCTTAACCGTTGCCACAGATAACACTCAGAAAGAGTGTTGGTCCTGATTCAGGTGGGTTTTAGATCACCACATTTGGTTTCAGTTGTGCTCGACTATAATGAGTGGCCTACAAAACTGAACACTTAAGCCATATTAATGTATGAACGTCATTGTATTAGATTACAAAATATATGCAAACAAATGTGCAGTTAATCACCCTTTGTCTTCATTTTGAACAGTTTATCATCATTTTATTTCACGCCAAACATTTATATAAGTCTGACATCACATATAGGTGTTATTTCCCAACATGCATGTCTGATTGGGGAAGCACATCTGTCAAGACAAAAAAAAAAATTACGAGCATATGCAGTGGAGCAATGGAAATTAGAATATTAATATAATATTAGAACACTTTTTTTTTTTCAACATCACATTTTTATATATTCCTTTTTATTCATTTCAGCATGTCATTAACTAAATCAGAAGAAAATTTCAGATCCAGTAAGTCTGACATCACATATAGGTGTTATTTCCCAACATGCATGTCTGATTGGGGAAGCACATCTGTCAAGACAAAAAAAAAAAAATTACGAGCATATGCAGTGGAGCAATGGAAATTAGAATATTAATATAATATTAGAACACTTTTTTTTTTTCAACATCACATTTTTATATATTCCTTTTTATTCATTTCAGCATGTCATTAACTAAATCAGAAGAAAATTTCAGATCCATTTTTCACATATACAGCTGAAGTTCTCAGAAAGAGACTGAATCACTGACTCGTATGTACGTGTGTGTCCTCAGTACACTCACTCAGATAGGCCTGAAAATACAGTTCATCTCTTGTAATAACTCATAAAAGGTTGAATTTCACATAAGAAGTCCAGGTAACAGGTTACCTCAAAATAAAATATTAGGCATAAAGAGAATGACATTTATTTTTAGGACCCTTAATATTATTTGCATTCACACTTAATGACAGTTAAGCACATTTCCCCCTCCAAAAATGTTACTTTTCTTTGGCAATTCACATTTTCCCGAAGATTAAACAAAACAAATAATATGATAACATACAAATACTTCACACTTTAATGAATTAGCATTGGTGCAATATAAATTTGGGAGGGAAATGTAATATATGTGGTTTCTTTTGAGTGTGGAAAAAAAATAGAACTCTGACATTTTCACCAGATTCATCAAAAAATGCCTCTGAATAAAGAAAGCATGTTTAAACTCCCTAATTCCACATGCAGCCACACTCATGAAACCTCAAAATCACACATAGAAACACACATCAATCGTTCATCAAATCATTATTTTATTTTAGTTTGTGAGTAACACAATGGATTTCTCCCAAACCCTCCCAGCAAGACCAGAATCATCACACAGACTCATGATCTGTTTCACAACTTCAATGATGCCAGTAAATCACTCAATCCAATGCTTTTCCATCCTTCTATGCATCCACACTAATCATTACCTACATTTGTGAAATAATGGTAATCCAAAAGACAAAGAAAAGAAAGAAGACCAAAACAGCCCAAAACACAGATGTGCAGACAGGACATTTACAGTTGGAGACGATGCCCATCAGAGAAAGCAAAATGAGATATTAAGAGCAGAGCAGCAAATATTGGCCTAGATGTGTGATTTTTTGTTCTCAGTTACCTTTGAAAGTGCCAACTCTTCATTAGTCTTGGGGTAGAGCTCATGTTATGGCATCTCGCCAGACTGCTCCGATGGAATAGGAACAGAGGAGTCCGGTTTGCCATATTGAGAGTATAAAGTAACTTTAAGAATACTAGCAACACTACATACACTAGTTTACTTTAGATCAGGGTAAGCCCCTAATAGTGCCTTTTTCATATCTTTGGGGTCAAAGTATTTAGGGGCGGAGTCAATGTGACATGGAGGAGGAAATGACTTCAACAGCTTGCTTTACACCCAGGACATTACTCTTTTTTTCATGTTTTCTCTTTGAGTGACACTTACTAGAAAACTGAGTTTTCAAAAGGGACTCATTAAATTTACTTATATATATATATAAAAAAAAAAAAACATTTCACCTTTCACCAGAAATGCATAAGAAAACCACACATTTTACATTAAAAACTGAAGCCTATTTAAGCACATTAATGTTAGTGTAATATGGAAAAAAAATGGAATTATAAAGTTTGAATTGGAAATATCTTAGATTAAACGGTCACTCAGTCCTCATTCTAATGTGGTGTGAACATGATTGGTTCAATCGAATGGGAAGCTGCTACTGCTGCTAATATTGGCTAGACAGGATATGACATCACAGTGAGAAAAGTTAAAACGGTTACGATCAGACAAATAACGCAACGAGGGCAAGAAAGTAAAACTTTCAGAGTAAAAACTGTCAATCGTCCTGTTATTGGGCTGAACAGGTTAGAATCTACATCAGAAAACACATTTGTACAGCAATCCATGATTTAGTAAAAAGTCCATTTGAATGGCAAAAACAAATGAAGAAAAAAACATTAAACAAAACTCACAGTACATTCACAGAAAAAATATTAGCAAATCTTGTGTGCTACAAGTAAGGCAGTACACTAGAACCTACGAATCTACCTGGCATTCTCCCTGGACACCTTACTGAGCGCATGCACCACATCTGGCTGCGTTAAGGTCAAGGTTTGGCCTTTTACTGGATGCCCAGTCCATGCCACGACAAAATGCTGAACCTCATGGAATAGAAAATAATGAAAACATCTAATTTGTGTGTTAAAACCTAGGTGTATATCCAAGCAATCAAGTGGCAAATCTTGTAGTTTATAATGAATATATCCAATCAATCGCCTATGGCTTCTGGAGTAATTCTAGAACAAAGGAATAAAGCTGTTGGCCTGTAAACCTAACAATACCAAGTGTGCCATACTGTGGTCATGTGTTAGGCTTCAGGAACACTGTCTGGAAGTGTGTGTGTGTGTGTGTGTGTGTGAGACAGCTGAGAGTAGGAACAGGATCTTTATGCGATCATCAGATGCACAGTTCAGGAATGGTAACACAGATTGCGTTTTCTTTTTAGTTAGGGGGAAATTTGCTATGCTATTTGAGAGCCATCTTCACCGTGGTAACCATCAACATCCTCAAGGCCGCTTGAAGAGGTGTTCGTTTGGCTGTTGGTCGAGTGGCGGACCGCACCGCTTCGTTCAGACCGTCTATAAGAAACAATTATGCAGAACAAACAAAATCAGTGTCTAAGACAACATCAATTTGGGAAAAATTAAATGGCATTAAACGCACCTAAAAATCACCCTAATTTACACGAACAAATAAAATGCTGCTGAAGACTTATGCGATGGACAAATTGATTTACTAAAATAAACTCTTCCAAATCCACATCAAGATGCCTATTAAAAGACTTGAACCTTTTTTTTTTACTTCTAAAAATCCTGTTGCTATGGAATCTAAACAACAACACTTGCTTAGTCTCAAAACATAACATTTCCAACGTTTTTCTAGTAGCGTAAGATTCTCTACCTCATTAGATGTATCGTCGTCTTTGTTGTCGCTCCCTGCGGCCTCCTCTGCTTCTCCCGAGGAGTCCTCTTCCTCACTCTTCTTTGCTTCTGAGGGAAGAACACCACAGAATTAAAGCAAACAACTCAACCTTCATAAGGTCATAAACCAAAAACAAGACTATGAAGGATTAAGCAAAAGTTGTAATAGATGTGTGACATGTTTATCTATCGGACCTGATTCTTCTTCCTTAGCTTCCTCTTCCTCAGCTTCCTCTTCCTCAGCTTCCTCTTCCTCAGCTTCCTCTTCCTCAGCTTCCTCCTTCACATCTGGCTGTGGTGCGTCTGTCTTCTTGTACTCCGCAGCAGATGTGGACGCTGGGCTCTTCTGTAAGGCGCAGAACGACATTTATTCTACAGATCCACCCTTGGCCATACATTAAGGTCAGGCTACTTTAAATGACCCACACTTACCTTTCCAGTGCAGCAGAAGACAATGATGAGCACCAGAGGCAGAGCCACAGTCAGGACGTAGACGATCCAGAGCCAGGGTCTCTCTTCAGTAGCTGTTATCATCTGATTCACCAGACCGGGCTGTGAACGCACACACACACACACACTTAATTTACTAACACACATGCACAAGAGTCCCACACAGCCAATCAAGAAGAACTTTGCTTCTTTATTTTTTTCTGCCATTTTCACCACTATCAATACAAGTAGAAATCAGGAAATCACATGGCCCCAAAACCCCAAAAAAGATTATCTTGTAAAATCTACTAAGCTACAATTAAATCCCAAAAAAAAAAAAACTAAAACATTTCTCTCCATTTAAAAGTACATTACACTCAAACATTGATGCTACAAAAAGGTTCACGAAGACATCGAAACATTAATTCATATCAAACAAGCAATTTAATCACAGTCTTGCCAAGCAGATTTTATTCACAGATAAACACTGAACAACACACACACACACACAGAGCACAAACCTCACTGGTTGTCATCCGTCAAACGTGCAAGTTTCAGCTTCTGTTTACAATATTTGATGTGCTTTATGTATGTGCACTGATCAATGTTTACATGGGACTAAAAGCCTAAATTAAATCTTTTGAGAGTTGAATATGAACTAAAATCTTCTGGGTTTGGAACGAGATGACGGTGAGTAAATGATGACATTATCATTGAATGAACTACCTCTTTAAGTTAACCAGTGACTGCACTGTAAACCCTCCAAACCAAGTGTGCATCCTTTGGACATGTGATCAAGCGTTCAGACGCAGTCACTCCGAGGCACAGGCTTCGGTCCTGACTGCCTGTCTTTCATGCTGCTGTGACAAAGTCATCATGGCCGATTAAACAGACCACAATCAAAGCATGAAGCTGCTCAGACAAAAACCCACAGACTTCCGTTAGGTCCTTTAGCCAGGGACAGAGCTGGCCCTTGAGTTTAACATGCAAGGCATGCCTGGAATCCACCTTCGGGCAAAAGGCATGTGCCCAGTAGGAATTCTCATGAACGCCAGCCAAAAAACAGCTAATCCCAGAGTACACGGCGCTCAGCAGTGCCTCCCAGCACACCGACAGAGCCAGAGACATTCCCTTGGGATCCTCAACCTGCCTCAGAGAGAGACCCCACACCAGAATTTACTTCTGAAAAAGACCCAGCGCTGACCGCTGATTGGCCGTCACGCCCTGCTCATGTCTTTACTGACGAAAGCGAAAAAATTTTGCTTGATAATCAAAAAAATAAAAGAGACTACAAATGTTCTCTGTTCTGAAACAGGGTTTGTTGTGAGACAAATGCAATGGGAGAAGAAGAAAAAAAAAAAAGACTAGCCACTGTATAAATGTTTACAACAACTTATTCTCCCTATGAGAAACAATTATTGTTCGATCAGAAATTAGAGAGAAAATAAAGAAAACCTTGGAAAAACCGCATTATCCAAAACAAACAAAATCAGGATCTCTATTCAGATAACATCAATCTAGGAAAATTAAATGGCTTTAAACACACCTAACTCACCCTAGTTTACATGAACACATAAAATGCTGCTGAAGACTTTTATGTGATGACGACAAACTGATTTACTAAAATAAACCTGATCTTCCAAATCCACACCCAGGTGCCTACTAAAAGACAACATTTGCTTATAAAGTCTCAAAATGTAACATTTCCTATGTGTTTCTAGTAGCATAAGATGCACTACCTCATTGGATGTACTGTCGTCTTTGTTGTCGTTCTCTGCGGCCTCCTCTGCTTCTCCTGTGGAGTCCTCTTCTTCACTCTTCTTTGCTTCTGGGGGAACAACAACACAGAATTATAGAAAACGGCTCAACCATCATAAGGTCCAAACCCAAGTCCCTGAAAGAGAGGAGAGTGTAAACAGAACTAGAACTAAAAACTCTTCCAAGCAAAGAACGCAACTTGTGTGACTGGTCGCATTTGACTGTAAGAAAGATTTAACAAAAGTTGTTTATCTTTCAGACCTGATTCCTCTTCCTTGGCTTCCTCTTCCTCTTCCTTGGCTTCCTCTTCCTCTTCCTTGGCTTCCTCTTCCTCTTCCTCTTCCTCGGCTTCCTCCTTCACATCTGGCTGTGGCGCGTCTGTCTTCTTGTACTCAGCAGCAGATGTGGACGCTGAGCTCTTCTGTAAGGCACAGGATGACATTTATTCTACAGATCCAGCCATACATTAAGGTCAAGCTTCTTTAAATGACACACACTTACCTTTCCGGTGCAGCAGAAGACAATGATGAGCACCAGAGGCAGAGCCACAGTCAGGACGTAGACGATCCAGAGCCAGGGTCTCTCTTCAGCAGCTGTTATCATCTGATTCACCAGACTGGGCTGCACACACACACACACACTTAATTTACTAACACACATGCACAAGAGTCCCACACAGCCAATCAAGAAGAACTTTGCTTCTTTATTTTTTTCTGCCATTTTCACCACTATCAATACAAGTAGAAATCAGGAAATCACATGGCCCCAAAACCCCAAAAAAGATTATCTTGTAAAATCTACTAAGCTACAATTAAATCCCAAAAAAAAAAAAACTAAAACATTTCTCTCCATTTAAAAGTACATTACACTCAAACATTGATGCTACAAAAAGGTTCACGAAGACATCGAAACATTAATTCATATCAAACAAGCAATTTAATCACAGTCTTGCCAAGCAGATTTTATTCACAGATAAACACTGAACAACACACACACACACACAGAGCACAAACCTCACTGGTTGTCATCCGTCAAACGTGCAAGTTTCAGCTTCTGTTTACAATATTTGATGTGCTTTATGTATGTGCACTGATCAATGTTTACATGGGACTAAAAGCCTAAATTAAATCTTTTGAGAGTTGAATATGAACTAAAATCTTCTGGGTTTGGAACGAGATGACGGTGAGTAAATGATGACATTATCATTGAATGAACTACCTCTTTAAGTTAACCAGTGACTGCACTGTAAACCCTCCAAACCAAGTGTGCATCCTTTGGACATGTGATCAAGCGTTCAGACGCAGTCACTCCGAGGCACAGGCTTCGGTCCTGACTGCCTGTCTTTCATGCTGCTGTGACAAAGTCATCATGGCCGATTAAACAGACCACAATCAAAGCATGAAGCTGCTCAGACAAAAACCCACAGACTTCCGTTAGGTCCTTTAGCCAGGGACAGAGCTGGCCCTTGAGTTTAACATGCAAGGCATGCCTGGAATCCACCTTCGGGCAAAAGGCATGTGCCCAGTAGGAATTCTCATGAACGCCAGCCAAAAAAACAGCTAATCCCAGAGTACACGGCGCTCAGCAGTGCCTCCCAGCACACCGACAGAGCCAGAGACATTCCCTTGGGATCCTCAACCTGCCTCAGAGAGAGAGACCCCACACCAGAATTTACTTCTGAAAAAGACCCAGCGCTGACCGCTGATTGGCCGTCACGCCCTGCTCATGTCTTTACTGACGAAAGCGAAAAAATTTTGCTTGATAATCAAAAAAATAAAAGAGACTACAAATGTTCTCTGTTCTGAAACAGGGTTTGTTGTGAGACAAATTTAAAAAAAATGGAATTTGGGAGGAACACTGATTTCAAAGGGCCCTGTGCATGTCAGAGAAAATGTCACTTATAGCTGCAGACAGGCAGAAATTCCTCATTAGTGGCTCATACTGAATTCTGGGCAGATATTTTCTGCATGCTGTCCCGTAGTGCAGAGATTCAGAGATCAAACGTGGGCTGTGTGAAGGACACAGAGGTACAAGGAGCTGTGGTCTCGCTGCGTGTGTGTTTGTAAGAGAGATGCATACTGAAACGACGGATCCGTGTGTTCACGTGTATTGTGTGAATGTGTGTGGGCTGATGAGGAGACATCCTGTGAAAGAACGTGGCTGGTTGAACTGCCTGTGCTGTGTCATGTGAGAAAGTCTCCGGAGTGAGTGGAAACAGATTTTCAGAGCAGCGCCGAGTGGATCGCCATGCTCCACTGACACACATGGCATCATTTACAACACAAGAGTCAGTCAACTCAAAACAAGAATCACAGAGAAAAGAAACAATAATTCCACAATTATGAATTCTTACTATTGGCATAAAGTCATATAGAGGTCAACAACAAATAAGAGACAAAAATGTTAATAATCGATGAGCTAAGTCCTTAAAAATGTGGTTCTGAAAAACTATCATTTTCTAGAAGTTAATGTAATGACATCAACAGGTCAATCATTATTTAAAAAAAAATATTTCAATAAGGAATTATTCATTTATACTAAATTGTAATAAAAAGGTCAAATTATTTTATATTCTAGGTGACTTGCTGACGTTAACACACACAGTAATGAGGGGTCCTGCACAGACTTGTAATTCAGAAATTAAAAACATGTTTCTCATAGAAGAGGTGAATTCCAAGTCACAGTATGTTGGAAATGCACTTTTAACTTTAAACACGTCATTTATGAAAAAACAAACAAACAAAAAAAACATAATAAATAAAGTGCTTGTGCCATAAACCTCACAACCCTTGGCAAATCAGTGACTAATTCTTCCTCACAAGTATTTAATGTATCAGCCAAGAAACTTTGCTTCCTGGTATAATTACAAAAACCTGTGCACACTGTCAGATTGCTGCTTTTTTGCATTCAAAATGCACTGGATGAGGATGTGCCTTTTTAGTTAACTGCACGCTCTCATCTCACTGATGAGCACTTGACTGAAGGAAAGATAGAGAAGAGTGAGATAAATACAGATGTGTCATACCTCAGCGGCTCCCTCAGCTGCTTTCTTCAGACCCCAGCCGTCAGCCGCCCATCGCTCAGCCACATTACGATCAGAGGTGACGAAGAAGTTGTCAAAGAAGATATCAGAGGACATGGACCAGAGCTCCAGACCGACGGCGCTGAATGGAGTCATACGGAACGGGTGCAGGTCCTCAAAGAAGTCTGGGTTAGGGATCTTCCTGGGCTTCCACACCCCCTGAAAAATAAACAAACCATTAGACATTGACGTTTCCAAGTTCAACACTCGGAGTTAGGGGTTTATTTAAATCACAACTCCTAAACCTCTTGGACTCAAACACCCCTAGTAAAAGGGCTGCATGATTTGGGGGAAAAACTGATTTTCCTGAGAATAACTGGAGATTTAAAAAGCGCTAAAACACACAAAAAAATTATATAGCAATATGACCATAATAAAATCTAAAAATATATATGAATTATAACTTAGTAATATTTTTATATTTGTATTGTTATATTTCACTGTAAAAGATTAAGAAATTATTAATTTAACATTACATAAATGTTGATAAACAGCCACCAAGATTAACTAATGGTGAAAAGTGTTGATTATAGCATTATATTTAGAACTAGTTGCACTGCATCAAATGCTGCACTGTAGCCGAACAGAGTCATGTCTACTGAGCACACGATGCAATGATGTACTTATTACAACACGATTTCTCCATTTTCTCCATTTCATGACCCCCTTAAATTCAAGCTTTTTAAGCATTTTTTTAAGCAATCTACTGTGATTTTGGTTTTTATCAATCAAACAATGGAAAATGCAAAAAAGAAAGATGAAAACATTAACCCAAAAAAGAGCTGTAGAAGATGCCAATTACCTGATAATTAGGGTTGTCAATCATTGGTGGCTTCCACTTGCCCTTGTAGTTGGGGTTGTCGATCACTGGTCTCTCCCATGGGCCGCACCCGGGGGCCGTTTCACAGACGGGATTGGGGATCTGAGGTGCTTCCCACGCGCCGTCCATATCCTCATCCCTAAAAGAGACGAGCACAAATGTAGTGCAGGCAGAGGGCAGTAAAGAAAGAAAACCTCACACTCAACGTGCCCCTCATATCTCGATTTCAGTTGTTCTCATGGTTAAGGCAATAATTATAAAAACTGAATCCAGATCATCACCCCAGGAGTCCTAATTTCTTCAATAAAACCAGCTCACTTCACCACTGTCCAACTCATAAGCGCTCAGCCTTTCACATGATCCAGCGTGATTCTGCATTCATTACAATGCGGCACATTTGTATGCATGTCTTTGACGAAGAATGCTGCCTTCACATAAATGTTTGAAATTAAACTTTAACACCCCCAAAGCTAAGGGAAGGTTTTCATCAAATTCAAATTGCCTAGTGCTTTTCACAATACACACTGTTTCTAAGCAGCTTCATCATGATGTTATATATTTATCATATTTACTTAGAAACAGTAACACAGCCGAGATTTGCTATATAGTATATGAGACCCTGGAGCACAAAAGCAGTCTTAAGTCGCTGGGGTATATTTGTAGCAATAGCCAACAATACATTGTATGGGTCAAAATTATCCATTTTTCTTTTATGCCAAAAATCATTAGGATATTAAGTAAAGATCATGATCCATGAAAATATTTAGTAAATTTCCTACCATAAATATATAAAAAAATAATTATTATAATTAGTAATATGCATTGCTAAGAACTTCATTTGAACAACTTTAAAGGCGATGTTCTCAAAATTTAGATTTTTTTGCACCCTCAGATTCCAGATTTTCAAATAGTTGTATCTAGGCCAAATATTGTCCTATCCTAACAAACCATAAATCAATGGAAAGCTTATTTATTCAGCTTAATTAATAGGGGTGAATAGGGATGTAACGATTAACTGCGAGCCAGTTGAAAATCGATTCAATTATCCAAAGCGATTTACAAATGAGGACAATAGAAGCAATCAAAACCAACAAAAGAGTAATTATATGCTATAAGTGCTATATTAGTATAGTATTATATATCAATTTCAAAAATAAATGTGCAGCATTTTGTCCAAGCAATAATAAAAGGATACATTTAATTTATCATTTGTCTTAAATCTCATTTTGTTAAAAAAAATAATAACTGTGAATCGAATCGAGAAATCAAAATCATGAATCGAATCGGGAGTTGAGTGAATCGTTACATCCCTAATGTATAAATCTCAATAAAAAAAAATAAAAAAAGACCCTTATAACTGGTCTTGTGCTTCAGGGTCACATATATCAATTGTCTGTATGTGTGCAGGTAAAGTAGGATCTAATGCGTATATAAAATATATTTTAATATATCTAGAACACTATGCAACTGAAACAATGAAAAGTGAGATTTTATAAATCACAATATGATTGGATTGTGAAAAGTAGGCTTTTTATTATTAATAATATTAATTTAAGTTTTTTTTATAATTATACAGGTTTCTTCAGAAGTGGGAAAAGTTATTTTGATTAAAGAAAAAAAAAAAAAGAAAAAAGATCTGTAATTGTGTTTTTTCAGACTTTTCAGTAATCGTGCACAGTAAGACCAAAAATATTTATTTATGAAGTTAAAATGATTTTCTGAAGACTTTTAATATAATGGAGAAAGCTTTACCAGTCCTCTGGCTTAAGGGCATCGGGGTCACCGATGTACTCTGGCTCATCGTCCAACCAGCCGTCAGGTTTCACAGCATCTTCATCAGGAATCTTAGCAGGAGCGTCTTCATCCCTGAGTTACAAACACATCAAATAATAAGGATATGGACAAAAAGTGACGATTCTGAACCCCAGGACAACACATACAGACATAAAGACACTCTCTGCCTCACCAGTCCTCGGGTTTGACAGAATCTGGGTCCTGGATCTTGGGTCTCTCATCCCAGTCCTCAGGTTTGTGGTCATCGGGATCCTCAATCTCGGCCAGGGGGTTGATGGGGGGAGTCATATCATTCAAGAGACTGCCGCTGTTCACCACTGTCTGGTCAATCAGGATCTCAAAACTGTTATCAGGGTTCAGCACTGCAGGAGGACACATTGACACACATGAGGAATTCTGTCCAACTTTCATATGAGATTTGTCTGTTTAGATCGGTTAGGAAAACAGCAGACGGGCTGAATGAACATGTAAATGTACTCTTTGACAGTAGGTGGCGCTTATGGAAGCAGGATGAGATGCGTGTTGTTACCCAGTGTGAAGAGGTGGGTCTTCTTGTCTGTGTAGTATGTGCGCAGGTCCGCGTCGGGCTTCTTAGCATGCTTCTCCTCAAACTCGCCGTTTTTTGGGTTCTTGTGTCTAAAGATGAAGTGCAGTTTGTAATCCTCACCACACTTATCAGGCCCAAACATGATGGTGTACGGAGTCTTATCCACAAACTCCTCCTGTGAGGACAGACAGGGAAGAGCGAGGTGAGGACACATACAATTGCATCTTATACATTAAGTGTTGTGTCCAGCTCATATGCTATCATTCAACTATGTATATACACAGCAATACAGGTCACCTGATTCTGCATA